CTGTAATAATGTTGTCAAGAAGCGTTGTGGGCATGCAGAAAATCCCAACAAGAAGATCGCTGATGGCGAGGTTGAGGATGAATAGGTTGGTGACAGTGCGCATATTTTTGCTCCGTAACACGATGAAGCAAACCACTCCATTTCCAATCATGCAGACCAGGAATATGAGGAGGTAGGACACTATGAAGACAGCTGCTACTGATGGCTGGTGCAGGTAATATCCAACATATGTAATGTTGTTCAAAGGTAAAAAGAATTCACTCGAGCCATTGATGAAAGTCCAGTTACCATCATCCACAAGGGTAATGTTCAGGTCCAGAGACTCGTTCATTTTAGATCTGCGGATGATAGAAAAAGCTTGAGCGATTGGTTTTATTCTCACTTTTCTCCACAATCAAAATTTAATTTATATATATATACATATATATATATATATATATATATATATATATATATATATATATTTTTTTTTTTTTTTTTTTTTTTAAATATTTGTCTTTTCCTTTTTGATTTTTTTTTTAACTTTCAAACACTCTCGAATGCAGCTGCTTCTGAACAAACCTATTTATAAACTGAACTCTCCGACCTCCAGCTGTGTAATTAACTGTGCATATTGCAAGCAACTGATTGACAAATAATGCCCAACCATTAGCCTACTTATCATAAAGTGAATTGCAGTTATCAATCTGCGGTCATGTTTGCCTCTGTAATCATGCAGAAAAATGATAAAATTCAGACATATCAGCTAAATCCTCTGTGGCTGACTTTATTTATTTATATTGGAGAAATACTTTATTGGCTATTGTGAAGTTGCAATGAGAGCATTTGTGACGCACAAAGAGATCAGAGTCAAGTGATCATCTAATTGTTTGAATCATTGGTCAATGTACCCTGACCATCATATATTTTATGCAATGTAAAAAGAAAAAAAAAAGAGTTCGATATTTAAAAACCTCACAGATGTTTCCATGGTTAAAAGGAAAACCAGGTACACTTTATTTTCCAGTGTTCGTGTACATCGTAATTTCACATTTAATTTTTGATAAGTACTATTAATTGACTCCATGCCTTTCATACACATGTAGGGTTAGGGTTAGGGTTAGTTGCTTTTGGTTAGGTATAATTTAATATTGTTAAAATCAAATAACAGACAAAGGGGTTAAAATATAAAACACAAGAGAGTTATAGTAGCAGTGTTGACTGACATAATTCCACAGTACATTCTTGTGCACTACGTCTACTAATGATACTGTACAACTGATATTCTATTTCAGCCAACAAAATAGCAATTCGTCATTCACGTCGTATTACAAGTTAATAAAAACACGGACGTACTAGCCAAACACAAAATCAATGTATCCTACCTTTTTGTGAACCCAGTTTTCCTATAGCACTACCTGTTCCCAGGTAAAAACGAACACCTCCTTGTTCGCCTGTTCCTCCACAAAGAGACATAAGGAGTCTTTGGAGATGTTTTAATGATTAACAACTAAACAATTATTTACAAATTAATTTCCTTTCTTCGTTACGATCTCCAAAATTCTGCGTGCCATAATTTGCAGTTTCAACAAGTTTTCTAGGCGAAGCGCAGCTGCCGGTGTCAGTTCCACAGTCACTTCTCAGCGGACTGTCAGTGAGCAATGAGCAGGCACGAGAGAGAGAAAGAGAGAGAGACTGGGTGAGAATAGAGACCGGCGGTGTGATGATGCGCTTTTAAGCGTCACAGCGCGCGCATGGATGGACACAGCCTTCAATTGCGCTCAGGGCGATAGTACTTGCGTCTAGTGTCATAGTTTCAGCTCCAGAATACAAGCAAACATAAACACCGATAGGAAAACAGCTAATTATAAAGCGTTTCATTTTATTCGTGTTTGTGCACAGTCACATTTTATTTTAAAGCTGATGTTATGGCTTTAGTCTATTTAATCAAGCTGGCTGTCTTAAGCAAAATCTATTTGAATGTAACGTATAACTGCGTTAATTTTCATATCTTTATAACGATGTCAAAAAAATTCTGGAATCACAGAAATGTGTTGACACCTTGACTATGTAACAGCAATAGGGGGCACCATTCGCTAGTGTATGTGGACAGGGCATAGGTTTCTTCGATTACTTTAAGCCGGTAGCTCATCCTAAATATTTTGACACGATGTACTCAACGTTAGTTTGCCCCAAACCTATGCTGGTTTCTTTAATCCGTGACATGATGCATGGCAGAATGACTGGCGTTCAGTCTCTATTCACTTTGCTGCTTCCATATCAAGAATGAAAGAATGCAGACCAAGACTGTACTTTTGCTTATGTAAATTACTCTTTGTAACACTTCAAACATACATACACACATACATACATACATACATACATAAACAAAAAAAATAAATAAATAAAAATAAATAAATAAATAAATATTTTTGTTTACTTGTAAGTCTTGGAAAAATCATGGAAAAGTCATCATGTGGATTTAGTAGTGTGGATAATCCCTGTTCGTACACACAGATGAAATCTGCTGCAAGGAAAAACATTTCCATTAACTAAAAGTAAAAACAGGGAGGCTTGCAGATGCAGTTTTCTTCATGGTGTGACATCATACACCTTGTGACATCATGTCATTTTGATGTCTTCTATGTTACATGCGTATTAATAGAGATATATTCCAGATCCCTATTTTGTCTAGAAGAGGACTGAGACACATTTTCTTTTTCAGGGATTGTTCACACTAAACATTGAGTTCTCTTGATTCTATTGGTACAGACCAAAAATATATTAATTATCTGTACTTTGCCACTCATTCGTTCATTCATTCATTTTCTTTTCGGCTTAGTCCCTTTAGTAATCCAGGGTTGCCACAGCGGAATAAACAGATAACTTATCCAGCACATTTTTACACAGTGGATGCCCTTCCAGCTGCAACCCATCTCTGGGAAACATTTACACACACTCATTCACACTCATACACTACAGACAATTTAGCCTACCCAATTCACTTGTACGGCACTTGTACAGAGGAAACCAGAGTACCCGGAGGAAACCCACGTGAACGCAGGGAGAACATACAAACTCCACACAGAAATGCTAACTGACCCAGCTGAGGCTCGAACCAGCGACCTTCTTGCTGTGAGGCGACAGCACTCTTTGCCACTGAATTGATAAAACCTCCAAAACAATGCTTGAACATACACTAATTTTTATAGTCACCTATTGTAAGCTATTTTTAGTTTGTTTACAGTAGATATCTTTGATATGTGTTGTTCAAATTTCAGTTGAATCACAAAGCATAGCAATGATCATACTAAATGAGATACAGAACACTAACAGACCAATCACACTAGAATTAGTTTTAATAAAAACAAACCTGTGAAGTGTGAACACACTCTCAGAAGTCTCAGTCCACTTGTTGGGTCCGCACTAAGGTCCAGATGGCAGTGTTCATACTTGAACTAATAACACCACAATTTTTTTAATCAAACCAAACCTGACCAACATGAACACATCCTCGGTGCCATTGTGCCTAACAAGATGAATGAAAAGAATACATTAACTATTTAAATAAAGCCAAAAGACAAAACAGTTCTCGCTCATTCACAGTCTGCAAGTAACTGATCTGAAGAGTGGCGAGAGTCTGAGAATCAAACTAAATGAAAAACAGTGAGCTCTTTCTCTCTCTGCCAGTGCAGTGAAGTGAGCTGGAAATGGGCTCCCAAGGCAGCAGCATCAAACGGACACATCAGTACTTTGATAGCTCTTCCAGTGAGTTATGTCTGTATATTTAATGTAACATACGAAAACAGCTGTCTGAACATTTTAGTTAATTTATTTCCTTAAAACAAACTCCAGGGAAAACCTCATTACTATTACACCAGTGTACACATTTAGAGGTATCCATGCACAAGTACTTCACAAGCAAATGAACAATTGCATACAACAGGACTGCTGTTGTGCAGACACACACTGTATAGTGTTTCTTTACAAATGTTGTAGTGCTAGCTACTGGCTTGGCAGGCATAATACAGCATTTAAATGCTCCATGTGAACAGATGTAACCCTCCCAGTCCTACACCACACAACCCCCTCTGAGCTGGGATCGAACCGGCAATTCTCAATATGGGAGTCGATTGCTCTAACAAGGAGGCTAAAGACCATGGCCTCTAGTGTTTTCTCTAGAGCACTTTTAGAGGTTAGAAGAGTGAGGTTTACCTGCACAGCACTTCACTAGCTGGCCTCCGTTACACTCACCAGCCTTAACCTCACTCCCATCCAGGACACGGCACCAATGTAACCCCACTGGTCCTTAAACCCCCCAACCCATTTGGAGCTGGGAATGCATCAACGGTTTTCCACATGGGAGTCAGTTGCTCCAACACAATCTCACAGCAGTTCGTAACTTTTTGATTTAGTGGCTAATTCAAATAAATTCGTATGATCTAATTCGTACAATTTCGTACGATTTGCTCGTCCCACATTGACGGTTGGGTTTAGGTGTGGGGTTAGGTGCCACGCCTACTTTTTAAAATCATACAATTTCGTATGACTGAATTTGCCCCTAAACTGACAAAACGTAAAATACTTACGTTTTCTCGTGAGATCAGGCTGGTTGCTCTAACAAGGAAGCTAAAGACCATGCCCTATAGCGTCTGTCGCTAGAGCACCTTTAGAGGTCAGAGGAGTGAGGTTTACCCGCACAGCACTTCACTAGCTGGCTTCCGTTACACAGATCATTTTGATAATGTTGTTGTCTGATTTTTTTTTCAGAAATGCTAAAGTTTTTCCATTTAATATTTTTGAATATTTTTATTATATTGTTATTATCTTAATACCCACAATCATATACTTATTTAACTTTTATCAGGCGTTTTGTAAAATTCCTTTTTATTCATTTAGCTTATTCCTATGTAAACATTTAAAAGATAATAAATGTTTACATGCACTGAATTCTGCTACACATAAGACTTACAGTGTAAAGGATTGCATCATTACTTGTTCATATAGTAGATGTTGTAATTTAATAGCAAATGTATGGATGCAGAAATAAAGTAACATCTTGGAATAACACCTTTAGTTCATTTGATTAAAACATTTGTTTTAAATTATTAAATAATTATTACATTTGTATGTAATTCTGATCACCTGAGCTGAAAAATGTCAATAAATAACATTTCACCTTTAACATCACCAAAAATGTAGGTAACACAAGCAAGTAGGTATCGCTGCAGTCCGGAGACCTCCAAGTGGGAGGGATTACACCGCAAGTAGGTTGGGTGTCCTCCAAATGGGAGGGGCTTAAACCACATTTGGGTTTAGGTGGTGTAGGTGGAGCAGATATTACTAAAACAAATCAGTTGGATTTAGGGTTGGGGTAGGTGTAGATGTTGTTAAAACACAACAGGTTACGCTGAGGTTGAGTTTAGACATTTATAAAGTACAATATTTGACTGATTTCTTGGAGCTGGCTCTGACCTCTGTTTATTCCCTTCTTATCACCAGTGACCAAAAAAATGGAGAAATGTTTTTAAAATAAATGTTCAAAAAAATAAGAAAATCATTAAGCTGCCATTTATGTATTTTCAAGACAAAAGATAATCGATTAATGTGGTTTAAATGTATAAATGTTTAAATGTAAACTTTAACTGTTAACAAAAGAAACATATTTTTATTTTATTTTATCTTTTGCTATAACAAAAGTGCATCTTTTTGTAGAAAACAGTTCAGTGTTTAGGGCTTCTTCAGCTGTGGATGATATCTTAATAAAGACTCTGATTTTACATTGTGTTATGTGCACTCTAAAAATAGAGCTTCACCAGTGAGCCACAGTAGGAGATGGTTAGTCATTTATGGGCTGTGTGAACAAATTTTGGGACATGGTCGGCCACATCCAGTGTAATTTTCCTTATAAGACCTTATAAGGGCTTCCTTTGCAGGCAGGTGTTGTTGTGGTAAATCCATGTAGAAAAAAAAAAAAAAAAATATGGGAAACAGGGGAGATAAGCATACTTTAGATTCTTTAGAGGGTCTGACTAGTTAATCTTTTCTGATGCAGTGTGTATGGTCCTGCATGTCAAAGAGGTTAGAATAACTCAATTTAATAGAGTGTGAAATGAAGCCATGATTGGACTTTTAAAAGCTTTCATGTTACTGTTCGGTTAAACAATACAAAATTGCTATGAATTTGTAATGTATTTTTGATAACACTTTACAATGCAGGTGCACTAATAAGCTCTAAATAATGATTAACTAATCCACAAATAATCATAATTTATTGTATAACTCACAAAGAGCTAAGTTATTTATTAATGATTACTGCATGAACAGCAAATGAACATTATATTATTCAAGTACTCAATATTAGTAGGGTTGCACAATATTTTGTTTCCGCATCGATATGATCATTCGCAATAGTCACATAACTAGTATTTGCAATGTTGAGTCTAGATTATAATTTATAATTTAGCAAGTGCCTTTTGAGGCCTATCACTGTGTGAAGGTTTAAAAAAAGCATTCAGGCAAATGAAAATATACCATTTTTAACCTTGAAAAAATTAAGAATGGCTAATTTTATGGAATTGTTTATAAAACGAAGACTATGCAGTATTATTTTACATTTGATTATTCAATTTCTGTATACCTGAATACATTTCGACTCTTCGGAAAACAATAAAATGCTGTTTATT